AGGCGGCATACGAGCTGATTTTCAGTGACACTCACACTGCCTGGGTCCTGGCCACCAGTCCGGGGGGCTCTGCATTTTAATTTAATTTTAAATGAAGCTTCTTAAACATTTTAAAATCCTTATTTACTTTACATACAATTGTTTAGTTATAGATTATAGACTTCTAGAAAGAGACCTTTTAAAAATATTAAAATGTATGACTGGCCCGCGAAACCTGAAGACTCGGCACAACACTTCTGAAAGGTTGCCGACCCCAGCTATGCTACCTGAGCACCTAGTCTGCTTATTCTTACATAGCGTGAAATCTATGCCAAATAAATTGGCTTCTTGTTTGTTTTAAATTACTAGATTAGCCTAATTAGAGAAAGTGTATAATGTTCCACCTTTTATTGAACCTACAAACAATACAAATGTTAAATAGCACATGAAGAGCCTTTGTAAGGCATGAAACAGCTTCAGGGGTTGCCTACAAAGTAGGATGTAGTTTCAATGTTCCTCCACCTATTTATATGGATTCCTGACCCATCTCCCATTTCCTGGTCTCATAACTCTTTCTTCATTATTTAAACAGAATTAATTTGTTTTCTAGTGGAATACATAGATAGTCATACTACATTGTTCTCTAAAAATGTCTACAGAGCTAGATTACCCTGAACAACGTGACAGTGATTTAAAAGCCTTAAGCAAGTCTGCTAACAAGTCCATTAGCACATTTTTATATTTCCACTAAGGATGTTTCTTTATAAGCCTGTAATAACATTCCCAGCTGGAAATATCTTTTTAGATTCAAATATTTAATGTGGAACCAACCAGGAGTTTGTTTTTTCTGCAGTCCGTATCAAAAGGCAGCATTATACAGCGTATTAATGTGATGTGTTGTAATAATAGAATTATCTCCCCTTCAGAATGAAATTGTGTGCGGTTTTTGTTCAAGTGTCTAGAGGCCACCATTGGCATAGTCTCATAAATGTGAAAATAAATATTTTTCCTCCTTTAGCCAAGACAAAGGTTGTTGCTGATGAGAAGAGAGTGTAGTGCATGAAATAAAAATGTGACCATATAAAAAGACAACTTTCACTGTTGGTAGAAATACTTCTTACCGTTTACGGTTTAGAAAGGGATAGAAACAGTAGGCGGTCAATACATCTCTATTTGGCAATAAACAGATCAGAGAGCCAGATGCACAAAGCAAGATGTGGAGTAAAGAGACTCTCCAATGCAATAAAAAACAAAACAAAGGGTCATGAGCATTAAATTGATGGTAAAGACAAAATAAACAGTGTGTGTTCTGCAAACAGTATTGCTACAAGCAGGTGGCACTAATCACATCATGCATATAAAACTGACCATTGTTGATAGAGAGGGGAATTTTTCCTAATTTGTATACCACAGACAAAGCACAAAATAAATCACTGGGTTACCTTAGAGTTTACAGGGAAAGATTTGAGGGGAAAGAAAATGTAGTAGATAAATGGTTTTTCGAGGAAGATTTGCCTTAAAGCACAAAGAAACAGGAGATAGATATAGAGGGCCTGATTCTCCGTTGCTTTGTACCTTGTGTTTTCACACCAGTACTAAGTTAGTATACAGTGGTTGTAAAACACTACAATCAAGGATCAGGCCCATAAAATAACAGTAATAGAATCAGAAAATTCAAATACTCTTTGCTGAAGGAAATTGGTAAAAGCCATTTTTAAAATATGAAACTGCAGACTGGAGATCTTCACAGCATTACACTCACAGCCAGTGTGAAGATTTAGCCTTCAACCTCATTCCTGGTAATACCGCTAATAGAAATAGAAATATCCCTCTCCTGATATTTGATAGTTAATGGGCAATTAAGTAACAAAGGATCAGAGCCAGGATGCAAATAAATTGATAATGATCAGTTATGCTGGAGAATATCTTCAAACATGGCTTTTACAGCAAGTGTAGTTACCTCAGGCTGCAGCAAAGAATAGTATCATGGATTGGCCAAAAGAGCAGCATACCCAGAGTAGGACACATTTGACTACAACAAAACCCATTAAACCATAATTATCCAGTTCCATACCTAGCATCTTGCACATAAAAAACGTATTGCTAAACAGGAAAGTTCCATCACAGTCCCATTGCTAATGGGCTAAAGAAGGGTAACAAAAGCAGGTCATTTATTTAGACAACTTCAGGATGGTGCTGATAAAAGGTTGTTTTAGAAATGAATTTAGTAACTGTCTATATAGTTACAGAATATAGTTCTGATATGAGTCATGTCTAACAATGCAAGATTGGTGCCCTCTCTGAACACAGATGAAGGCACATTTAAAAGTACAAACTTAGAGGCAGTGGAGGCCAGATATCACACTGGCCTCTGAACAGTTTTCCAATCTTGTGGCAGCTCTGAATTGGATCCAAAAGTTTTCTTATATTCAGTGGCAATCGCACAATCTTAATGTGAGTTAAACAAACACTCCAGGGAGCATATGCAACACTTTCATACAGTGCAGAGTACTGTGATGTACTGGCTTGTGTATATACACACACACACATATATATATATATACACACATATAGCCCTTACTTTTTACTACATGGAATATCTCAGAGCCGATTGAGTGTTTATCAAACTCCTCTACTAGATGAGTTGCATCTTAAGGTCACTGGATAATGGCATACAGTTTCCTTACAATGTAAGTGTGTGTGTTTAATTCCCCCATTTCATGTATGTAGTCAGCTGACACGAGGTCTGTATGGAACTAGAGCTGTGTGAATAACTGGTTTTTCAGTTGACTGGCAGTTTTGAAAAAAAAAATAAGAAAACTAATTGAAACTAATTTTTTTTTTGGAATTTTAGGAAAAATCAAAAAACTGGGAAAATTTCATTTAAGGTATTTTTAATTAAAGCAAATAAAATGAAGGTCTAGTTTCACAAAAATGGCGGAGGTGAGGGAGCCCTCCTTATGTCCAATAAACCGGTAGTTACGGCAATCACCGGGGATGTGGTAGACCCAGGTTTGAATCCCTATTCTGGAGCAGGGACTTGAACCCAGATCTGCCCCCTCCCAGATGAGTGCCCCAACAGTCAAGCTATGGGGTATACCGGGGGTGGAGTGCTCTCAACCTGTTTCATTTAGTAGAAAAATACTTGATTAATCATTGAGCCACAGACAGCAAGAATGACCCTGTAGCCCGATGGCTAGGGAACTCTCCTAAGAAGGGCTAGAGACATCCAGGTACACTAGTTACTGCTCCAGAATAAGGATTCAAACCTGGGCCTCCCACATTCCAGGGGAGTGCCCTAATCAATGGGCTCGTTAGGTATGAGGGTGGAGGGAAGGAGGCTGCTGCCGCCACAACCAGCTCCTTCTCCTCCTCCTGTTTTGTGAATGAAGTCCTGTCTTTGTGAACCATTTTAGCCTGAAAAATTGAATTGTTTTGGTACTGTCTGAAATGGTTCATTTTGACATTTCACAATTTTTTTTTGTTTGACCTAAATGATTTGTCAAAATCTATGTGAATTCATGAAATGTTTTGGTCGAGCTGAATCTACACCTTTCATCAACAAAAAAAATTTTTTTTTTTAAAGTTTGAAAAATTTTGCCCACCTCTATATGGAATTCAAAACATATCCACAGAATACAGTTCCATAAGCCACAGAATAATGTCAGAAAAACTTAACACTACATATTTTATTTTCACTTTATGACAAAGATACTTTGAGATGCTCCTGGTCGGTAACACAATATGGTCTGACACAGAAATATCACACACACACACACACACACACACACACACATCTACAAAGAAGTGTGCATTTGGAATCAGAGACCAGACATTATTAGAGGGAGAAGAATAATTTTAACATTATCAATAATCTTTAGTACACTTCTTTTGTCACACCCTGGGGTAAACCAGCTTTCTTCATACCCTACTAATGCAGCCAGTGTCTTTGATTGTCATGCTGGCAGAATACTCAAGTATTTTCTCCCAGATTGCCTTTCATAAGAGGTCACATATTGTTTTCCCTAAAACACACACACACACACACACACCCCCAAAACAATCAAAGATGCTTATAGAAAGAAGTATTGAGAATAAGCAATATTAAACCGGAATATATCTTTCCATGCTTGCTTCTCAGCACCATTACAGTTTCAAGGTTACGGATATGTCAGACTAACATAAAATCAAGGAAAGTTTGACTCATCTGCACAACCATTAGCTGCTTTCCCCATTTTTCCCCACAATCCTATTACTTCCACTGCATATCTAATACCATCAATCCTAGAATAAGAGTGTCCATATGGGCAGTTATACCAGTATAACTATAGTGGTTGTGATGCATGACCAGAAAGGGTTAAACATCCTGCAGAATGAATTACTCAAATTCAACCCTTAAAGACATATGGGGAGAACGTTTGTGTTTTTGTGTATTTACATATATATGGGTAGTGGTCAACAATGTAATCAACAGTCCCTGTCTATGCTGTATTCTGTTAGTTCCGAGATCAAAAGAACATCCTAACATTTAAATGAATTGTAAACATGGGATATCGATGTATTCATCTCTCTTTGAAATGTACAGCCGATCATCCGTGAAAGGTGAAAAACAGGCAATTCCTTATGTTAATTTGTGTAACTAAATACCAGTGATGGACCTACTTCAAAGTCTCCCTGATTACCTGTTGTAAGCCAAGGGATTCTAACCTGTCAAGGGCGGCTTGAAATTGTATAAAAGATGTTTGTGTCCCACTCCTTTTTATCTCAAATCTGTTTGAGGTTTCATGCAGGGGAAGCCTAAGCCATCATGACTGAGATCCCAGTTCTGACTGGATCGCCCTGAAGATAAACATTGGACTATAACCTATGGACTAAATTCTAAAAGAACTCTGCAACTACAAAGCTTACCGTCTCTGCTACGAATCTGAATCTCAAGATTGACTCATGTCTGTATGTATATTGATCTTTTAACCATACTCTCTTTTCTTTTTAAATAAATTTTAGTTTAGTTAATAAGAATTGGCTAGAAGCGTGTATTTCGGTAAGATCTGGAATATTCATTAACCTGAGAGGTAATGTATCCGATCCTTTGGGATAGGTCGAACCTTTTCTTTTATATGGTGAATAAGATTTTCATTGATCCTCATCATATCTGACTTGGGTAACTAGGTGGAGGCCTGAGGCTGGGTTACTTTAAGGGAACTGTGTTTTGGACTTCTGAGTAGCCAGTAAGGTATAACAGAAGCTGTTTAGTGCTGGCTTGGTAAATCTAAGTATTGGAATATCCACCAGCTTTGGGGATTGTCTGCCCCATTCTTTGCAGTTCACCCGAATTGAGTGACCTCAGCTGGCTCCCCTGGGATTCCAGTCATGGTAGTATAAATATATCAGTAAATTTTCCCATGTAGACAAACCCTAAAGCAAACATGAATGCAGCTGGCTTCAGAGGTTATAAGGCAAGTGTGGTAAAAGCTGAACCTTCCCATGCAAGGGAGAGAAAAGTTAGTTAGTGACCTAGACAAAATGTGAAAAATTGCTATTGTGCAGAATAATACTGCTGAGCTAAATAGACTCTACAGCCTTGTAAATGACAGAGTAGAAACCAACAGGACATGGTTGGAAAAGCAAGAAACTAGAACAAAAGTGCTTTTAGAAATCCCATTTCATGTGACGGGGCTGAGAAATCATTTACAAAAAGTTCCAGTGATGCAAAGCAGCATTAGTGCGCTCAGGCAACATCCACAGTCTATTAGTTTTTTCCAACAAGGGGAGAATAGAGAGGTATGAAAGGTAAATAAGCCAACAGAATGCAAAATGCACAAGTATAAGCAATCTACTGACCTTTCTCTAGCCCCAGGATTTCTTCTGCCCTTATGAAAAATTGAAAATAAACATTGGAGACAGAAAAGCTTAGAAGTTAAGCATGCAATGAAAAACTAACAACTCCCCCACTTTATTTAATAAAAGAAGAGCTTAAACCATAAAACCAAAACTGGGACAAACCATACAGAGAACGATTCTCTGTATTTTCAAGCCTCGGGTAGGGACTGCAGGCTGACATCACCCTGAGTATTCCTGTATTCACGACATGACTTGTTTATTTGAAATGAAAACCTCAGTGGCAGATTAGTTTGAAACTATTTGTGTTTCCCATTTAGGTTTAATATTCTGTAACAAAGTACAAAAACTGGGACAGAACTTGTACTGAAAAAAGTGATAGTTTCAACAAGCAGTAAGTTCCCAGCAGTCCAGGTGGAAATGAGATTTGCATAAATTCCATTACGATTTTAATGTGTATTTTTGATTTTACTTAATGCCATGTTTTGCAGCAATATAAATTGAATTACAGCTGTGCTGTTTGTGCTATTAGGTAGTAGTTTGGGTTCTCTCCTGGAGCCAGGTAAAATTATAAGTTTTATCTCACTAGGATTTTGAGAAATAGCCAATATAATTCCTGAAATGGCAAAAAAAAAAAGTTCACATTCAAAACCTCCTTTAATTTTCTCCTTTCCATAGGAAAAATCCACTGGAGGATTGAGGCCTCAGGAGACAAATTCTAGGACCATGTGATGACCTCACATCAGGGCACTATATAGCATGTTAACAGGTATGAGTCTGGATTCTGAGCTCAGTCCATCAAAGCAGCTCCTTGTAGAGAACGGGAACTGCCTTGAATAACTCCTTTGACAGATTGAAAATCAGAATGCACGGGCGGAGAGGTGGCAATTTGCACATATACATGTGTAAAAACATATATTATTGTAGTATACAAGCAGAAAAACAAATACATAGTATCAACTATTCATACTCCCCTTTAAATCCCCACATCTTGTCTCTCCACATTAGAAGATTGCTTTCTTTTATGAGGGGATCGCTGTCGTATTCTGTAGTAATGATCAAAAACACTACATCTCGTACAGTACACCTCTACCCTGATATAACGCGACCCGATATTACACTAATTCAGATATAACACGGTAAAGCAGTGCTCCGGGAGGGCAGAGCTGCGCACTCCGGTGGATCAAAGCAAGTTCAATATAACACGGTTTCACCTATAACACGGTAAGATTTTTTGGCTCCCGAGGACAGAGTTATATCGAGGTAGAGATGTATTATTGATGCTGCAACAATACTGTAGTATAACATGGGATTTTAAGGGTCACACGCCCCTCTAGGAACAGGCTTTCTGACTGAACCTACATGACTGAGAGCTTTTAAGATCCTTTTTAAACCCATTTTCTTCCCCTTGCCCTAAAGCTTATTTCAATTCCAATAAAGGAATCAGATCCCACACCTTGAGTCACTTAGTTTCCTATATGCTCTGATCCCAAAAATACTATTTGTTTCCAATTTGTCCTCTACTCAACATATATACTGATATTTCCTGTATATGATACAGCCATAGAAAATATATATATATATATATATTATATATACCACTTGTACAGCAGTCACACTTAAGAAATTCATCAATTTTACCTTGGATACCTCAGTATTTCCTAGGTATTGCTTATTGTTAATCTCTTTCTATATCTACAGTATAAAGTTGTCTTGGTACTTAAATATAAAGGTATATATTTCTAGGCTTTTTATGTTCAAGTTTGTGTACCAACATTAGCAATTAATGTATCTAATACTAATGAATATATTAATATATCATCACCTACACAGTTTATTTGCATTCATATGTACCGTGCAGACCATCATCCTCAGGGAGCTGCTCATTGGTCCAGTTTCCCTCAGAAGGTTGAGCCAGAACAGACATTCCCTTGTGCACTCAGAGGACTCTCAGGACCGAAGAAAGAGGTACATAGTGCAACAGATATGGCAGTTCCCTGCAATATACTTGGAAGACCTTTATTGTATTAACTTTACATATTATTGTGGGCCAGGATAGTATGTAACCTCTCCGTGGGTGACGCCTGGAACCCAGAAGCCTAAAGTGGCTGTCTTTGGTCGACTCACACAGGGAGTGGCATCAAGAGTAGGGGAGCACAGATGGGCAATGAGTACTAGTGGGCTAAGCTAAGGGCTCAGAGCGGAAAAACTCACTGAGTTTTAAACTTTACTCCAACACTTACATATGGTGTAACTTTGGCAGTCACTTGACTTTTCTGAGACTCTGTTCCCTCATTCATGAGAAGGAATAACATTACCTACATACCTCATCTGGGGCTTGTGAGGGTTTGCTGACATTTATAGAATACTTTAAAAATGTAAAGTACTAAATATTATTATTTCCTAGTTCCACTGCTCCCTGGAAGACCTTTCCCAAGCATTTATGGAAATGGGAGAGCCAGCCCCTGTTAATTTGCCCTGGATGGAGAAAGCATACAAGCTTGCCGCCTTTTAAAGATGGTGGGAAGGCAGAATACTATAATCTCCCTGAAAGACATCAAAGGTAATTTAGTATGTCTGTAACCCAAGAACCTTTTAATGTCAACTGGCAAGGGTGTGCAGAGGGGTTACGTGAATTTTCTTGGGTCTGCCATGTATATTCTAGTTCAGAGTGTCACATGAGGTGTCAAATAAGAGCCAATATCACAACAGTCATCAATACTGTTGCAAAATGCATGTACAGATGTTGTGTAAGGAGTTATGTATATACACTGAAAAATATGTACTTACAGATCTGCTGGTAACTGGTCCCTAGACACAAAGGTGAAAAACAGGTTTGCTGGCAGACAAGTAATTTTTATCTAGCTGGGTGTTTATATATAAATTAAGTATTTTGTAATTCATAATGGGTCTATCATCTGTCTGAACTGAATGTTAATGAAGGATTGTGGGAACTTCAAAGAAAGAAACTATCAGGAAGAGGAAAATGGGAGAAGAGAACCATATCTTGAGGTGCACTACAAAGATTTGTTCTACTATATTTAGGAGACACAGAAGATACCCCTCATGAAGGAAGTAAATGGACAGTGAGTTTTCCCTCACAAAAAAGGGTTATCAACCAGGCTTGGCTGAAAAATGCTAGCGAGAACTTTGGGTGAGATAAGCTTTCCCAGACAGAAGGGTAATGTGAGCTAAGTTTAGTCTCTAAAAAGCATGTTTTGTTTTGGTTTCTATATGTAAGCATTTATTTCCAATATTCTTACTCATTATCACTTTAATCTCTATTCTTTGATAATAAACTTATTCTTGTTTTCACTATAAATATATCTCAGTGCTATGGTGTTAAGCAAATTACTGGTCCTCAGTTGAATCTTACAAGCTGTTATGTACTGTTCCTTTGGGAACAGCAGGCCTGGTAATTCTGTGAGTGTTCAGTGGATAAGTGGCTGCACACTGCAGGGGATGCTCCAAGGACTCAGGGGTTAGTATGTGCATATCGCTACCTCTACAGAAAGCACGAGGACTGTGGAGGTCTGGAAGGCAATGCTTGTATTGCCAGATGTCGGTGGTTTCAGGGAGTTGATCCAGAGCAGGCACAGACAAGACTTCCTCATGCTAAGGGCAGGTGGTGGTGGGATGCATCACAACCCCAGGTGCCCCTGGGTAGCATCACAGTGTCCTGGGATTTGGTAGAAGAATGGTAAGCAAAGTTGAGTGGGAGCGAGGTTTCTGCATCTGTGAGGATGGAAAGGAACAACAGTCCCTGGCTTCCCCCAAGCTAGCTAAAGTTTTCTCTCTGCGGTTTAAATGAGCCTCAGAGTGTTCAGAGTCTGATGTGGAATTTTCACACAGCCCTACTTATTATATACCTTTATCATTACCAGCATATCACAGTTCATTTCTATGAAAAGCTCTTGGGAGGGTTTTTTGCCAGCACTACTTCACCCTTGAAGATTTTTTAAAAAAATATTCTTAACATCTATTTAAATATATCTTTAAATATGAGCCTCATTAAAACAACAATTAGAAAGTTATCCATAATACATCAGTGGCCATACTTCAGCTCTTCGTTGTTCAAGTGTGTCACCCCCATATAGCCTTAGGGTGCTTTAGAAATTATAATGCAGTTTACATCTCATTGTAATACTAATTTAACAACTGGAAAAAGAATACCAAGCAACTTATCTGCTACGATTAAGAGATGTTTACACTGTTTGCTAATGCAGCATTAAAATATGGTCTGAATACAACAGTGAGTCTATAAAAATAAGAATTGCATATTGCCACATCTTGTCTTTTCCATTGTTACAGGCCACATTTGCTCAGTTTACAAGTAGAAATGCGATTTCACAGAATCACAGAAGGCAGAAATGAAAGACTTATTTGATCCTCTCGCCAAAACAGGATTGTTTTCTACAGTACATTTTCTTGTGGTCTTTCTAGTTGGTTTTCAGAAGTCTCAAGTGATGGGGCCACTTGCATTTTTGACCTGAGGAAGTTCTGAGGGGCTATGATGTGCAGCATTAGTGATAACTGTGGAGACCTACATGGTTTTGGCTTAGCTACAAGATGAACATTCAGAATGGCTCGCTGAGCAAGAGGGGGCTAGGTTTATTCGACATCACATTTGTTACGTACCATGGCAACTCAGAAGAACACTGCCCTTACCTTCTGCAAGTAAACGAACTTTCAAAATTGCCAGATCTCTAACACATCCTCTCAACCCCTGCCACTCAGTAGAAGTGTCAGAGCCCCATTGCCTTAGGCCCTAAATGCTCTGAAATTAGAACAGTTGCTCCCCTCATTTCTGCATGGTCAAAGTTTTCTACTGGCTGGAACCATTTTTTGGTGAAGAAATTTTATGGGAATAATCCTGGCTTCTCACTTTAAATAGGAACTTTTTAAATATTCATCTGCACTTGAAATATTTTGATACTTCCCCCTTTGTCTCGAGGGCTCTGTAAAGTGTCATAAGTCATGTTAGTCTAATTTCAGTTTACCAGATCATTGGTTCCTGTTGGCAAGACAGTTTTCCCAGGCATTTTTAACAATGTGCCAACTCAGTAGTGTATTGCTGTCTTCTAGCCACTAATAATGGGCAGCATACAGAACACTTTGAAATGAATGGTTCTGTTGCCTCCTTAGTATTTAAGCATCTTTGGGAAACTCCTTTTCAGTTTTGAAAGCATTAAATACAAAAGTGTGATTGCTTTTCAGTTCATGGTCTCAGTTTTGCACCCACTGAAGTCAATGGAAAAAATCCTGCTAACTTTAACAGATGCATGGTCAGCCCATTGTAATTAATAGTATGAGCCACATAATAGCCTCAATTTCTGCTTTGTCTTGCAATACATTTCTCAACTTATATGATGAGCATAAAGCCTTTTTTACTCTATGAATATTTTGGGTGTTTGCACTCAAGTATAGTATATCCTATGAGATTTCCCTCCCTTATTAATTTACCAGTGGTTCTCCTGAAAAGTCAAGAGGGAAATGAAAGTTCTATCTTCTCTGCTTGCTGCCTCTAAATCAGTCGGTTAGATGGCAATTTATTTATTTAGGCATCTCATCAGCATGCACAAAAAGGAAATGAGTTAGTGGCTGCCTTTGACATAGGATGCATCTTCAGGTAAAATGATCGTGCTGAATATTTTTACCCAATTAAAATTTCACATACTTCAGTGGTTTGCAGCAAGGAACAGATGAGCATAGATAGTGTCTTCTGATGGAATATCTGAATATTTGATCTAACAATGCATTACCGTACCAATTTATATAATCAGGCAGACAGTACTTCACAGACGTATGTTTCCATAAAATTAATGCATTAGCCCAAGAGAGGACTTAATGCAAAAGACTGAGATCACAGTGAAACAGTAAAGTTTGGGGGTCTGTCTTCCCCCCAACCCCAGTGGGGATTTGTATTGGGGTCCCTGGAAGAGTGGCAAATCTCTGGGTATAAGAACCTCTTGGAAACACATAGGGAAAGAACCCAGAAGTGGTAGGAGGAAATTGGCTGTTCAAGGAGAAAGTGACCTGCTCTGGGATGGTAAAATGGTATACAGTATATTGGGGGAGGGGGGAGAGATGAGGATCGGAGATAGTCTGTGGGTTCCTGGTTGTTTGGGATGCAGTTAAGGATGAAAAAGCAAGGCAGAGGTATCCCACGTCACACTTGACAAGTACAAGGAGTAGCAAAAGACTACTTTAGCCCCCCAGGTAGCTGCCCTGGACTCCTAGACTGAATGCCCCTGATACACACAGCATGACAGTTGAGGGAGCTCCACCATCACGAACAGACAGGAGGAGAGGAATTGCATCCATGTGCTCACTGATTTGCACAGATGGTTCTTATTTAAAGAACATGGCCCAGTCACTAACTGCATCATCATATTTCCCAGCCAGCAGTAGGGCATTCTCAGTTCAGACCATGCATTTCTGGAAAGTGCTCCCTCTAGTGGTCTACCAAACCCAGGCTGAGTCAGGGTATGGCAGGAGGCTCATTTGGGCAACCTGTATTTTATTTTAAAAACGAAAGAGTATAGAACTTCCTTTGCAACGTGGAGTGACCGTTCAGTCACTGGGTTGTTTTAAGGAAGAGGTCTGGATTTTGCTCTTTTGCATGAAGGAGAACGATTCCACTAAAAGCAACTTAAAATGAGAGATTTCAGAGTAGCAGCCGTGTTAGTCTGTATCCGCAAAAAGAAGAACAGGAGGACTTGTGGCACCTTAGAGACTAACAAATTTATTAGAGCATAAGCTTTCGTGGACTACAGCCCACTTCTTCGGATGCATATAGAATGGAACATATATTGAGGAGATATATGAGAAGATATATATATCTCTCTCCTCAATATATGTTCCATTCTATATGCATCCGAAGAAGTGGGCTGTAGTCCACGAAAGCTTATGCTCTAATAAATTTGTTAGTCTCTAAGGTGCCACAAGTACTCCTGTTCTTTTTTTAAAATGAGAGAGCCTACCTTGAGAGGCATGGTCTTCTTCTGGATAGAAATGAGGGTGCCCTTTATTAAACATTGCTCTGACAGAACTGGTCTCTCATGAATAACTGGTTAACTTCAATGCAGAGACTCTTTGATAAGGAGGCTGCATGAATAGCTACTTAGAAGGGAGAGGATGGAGCATCTCTTTGAGAAGGTCAGGTACCACACCCAGGGTAACAAGATAGAAAAAACTCCTCATAGGTGGGATTCATCTATTTTCTTTGATTATATTAAACCCATTTCATTTTTGTTGAAGATTGTACTTTCAGGAAAAGGCTGCAACGGATATTTTTCTCCTGCTGAGCAAGTGACGCCAGCCTGTCTAAACATTCTGCAGTGACAGGTGTATTAGAAATGTAATAGATACTACACACATTAATTAGATGGTACCCAGCTGCTTGCAATGGAAATAGCATACATTGCTAAATAAATGCATATATTAGAGATGGGCCAGGTGAGATGTACCAACAGTGCAGAGGTGGCCGGGAAGGGGAAGAGAATAATTTTGCCACTAGATAGCTGAATGATCAAAAGAATAATTTTCAGTGAGCCAATCTGCAACGGCTGGTGCAAAATGTTCACGCAATACAACTTTACCTCCTGACATTTACATACACGCAGCAAAAAGTGTTGTCCTACGTAGGTTTCTGAAAAAAAGGAAACCTGCAAAGCCACATATTGTCTCCTATAGTGAGGGACCCTACAGAGGGAATAAAGTGCACTTTCTACTGGACACCACCAGCATATATATTACACACACACACACACACACACACACACTTCTTACATTTACAGCTCCAAAAGTCTCATAAGCTCTGCAGAGAGGTGTCCCTCTTGCTCACTGGCTTGACTCCAACTAACACCAGATTAAGCAAGCTCTGTCCTCCAGAACTAAACCTTCCCAGTTTCTATATCCTGGGTACTATTGGTTGCTAAGCAACACTTCATAGGCCACAGGCTTTTCCAGACTAATTAACAGATTTCACCTGAGCTTCCAACAGTTGCTAGGCAACAGTCACTGGTATTTTTCCCCTCCCAAACCACTTCCAATCCTAAAAAGACAAAAAGAGAAAAATATTTATCACTGAATAAGTGTCAATTATTCCCTTGCTATTTTTGTCCCCCACCCTCAAGATTAATCAGAAATAAATCGATTTTGAATCCCTGTGCTAGTCTTTAGAGCAGCTCTGTTACATAAATCAAACTCATACCCTCTATAATGGCAGCGATTTTCCTAGGGAGGGAGTGGTGACCAAACAGAAGAACAGTTATGGATAACTGGGTGTGGAGGTGGGCCAGAGATCAGGTGACTCCTGTC